ACCGGAATCGATAGCCAAGCAACATAATTTAGCGATAGTTGTTCCGAGAATTTACAAATGGTAATTTTGCAATAAAAATAAAGAAATATTATTGTGAAATTTTAAATAAATATTTATAATGCTATCAGTAATACATAACTATAAAAATTGTATTTTTTAAGTTTAAGGAAAGAAAGGATTTCATTTTGTTATATAATAGTAGATACCAATCCGAAAATGCCGCCAAAATACTCAGTCGAATCAAACACGTGGGAATTTGTTGAGCGTATTATCATGTGATTATGATGTCAGACGAATCCAGTCTATATCACCATTTGCATACAAAATGTATTAAAAATTAACGTAAAAAGAATCTATTTAAATAAATGAGTAATTTTCCTGCAAAGTTGACTTTTTGTATGACTGAAATCATTAGAATGTTAATTTTTACCAACTCTAATTATAAAGATTAGAATACCTAACTCATATCTTGAATTCAAATTTTATTTACATAAATGATCATGAAATTATTAATCAAAAGTTGATTGTGTATGATAAATTCGAAAACACGGTACTGCACATAACCCAATGTCGCAATCTGGACAGTAGAATCTTCTTTCTCTTCTTACCATTTTACCTTTACTTTCTCTCTTTGAGCAACAAATAATACACAGTCTCATTGGATTTATTTTCTTCTCTGATGTGGAAATGTAGTCAACAAAGTGCCTTCCAGATAAGTGTGAAGGGGGTTCTCAGTATAAGGACGACCTGTTTCTGCAGAAAATTCCACCAAGTGGTACTTTTCAATCGTTCGAAACCGTAAAAGGCACATGTGTAAAAATTCGGGAAAGACCGTTTGCACAGTGTAGATTTTCACAGTGCCCGAACTACACTCGGGTTGAGCCAGGAAGATAAGTTTCGCCTGTCCGAGATCAACTTGGGAAAAACTGGGAACGGATTAAGTAACACGAGAGCTATTGGCGACGTTTTAATTATTTATGTTATTTTTTACGACGTAAAAGTTTACGTTATTAAACACTCCCTCCTTATACAGCCTGAATTCATAAATAGGAAAATCTTAACGAGAACTTAATGCTACATAACGAGAATTATTAAGTTAATATAATGAATGAACGATGTAGCATATACTATATTTAGATGACATATATATATATATTTTAGAATTTCCAAAGAGCTAGCTCGGAAGAGCAGGGAAGTATACACGTATTATTTGATTGATGATTAGCTTGGATTGAAATTAAACGGCTTCTTTAACCAAAGAGGCTTTCAAAGGATTTAATATCCTTATGGTATTTAAACATGTTTCAAATTACATGAAAGCGAAACTATGTTAAGATACATTTCGTCAGTTCTTTTTAAAAAATATTAATTAAGAAACTTTTTTTACTTAAATTGTTAGACAGAAGAAGAAATTTTTTGTGTTTTAATGAATAAATCTCTTACATATGGGCAAATTTAGCTTTTGAGAAAATGTCAATGAAATTTTATGAATGACATTCAAATTTGTAATGAGTATTAAAAATGCATTATTTTGTTATAAAAAATTTAATAATTACGTTTAAGAAAAAAGTTCTAATGCTTTTATGTAAATACATGTAAGCTAATTTTGACAAAACAAACCAGTTTAAAATGTACAGCTTCAAAATGTGTTCTCAATATATTTCAAATCATAAGAGTTGTATTCTAATAAATTATAATTGAATATTAATGATTTACTTTCATTTAAATTAGGAGATTTCAAAAAGCTCCATTTTCTCTTGAATCGTTTTATTTAAAAAATAGTAAAAATATAGTAAACAATTGTTTGTGACTAAACAGAAGTTTTCCTTCCCTTGGAAAAATACCCCGATGTACTAAAAGATATAAATTGGTAGCTTCATAAATATTTAAGAAAATTTTACAGCCAAAGTCTTTTAAAGTTACAAACATTTCTGATATTTATTTAAAATATATTGTAACAAAAGGATTTTCTGATAAAGAGTTTCTCTGATATAAAGATATTTTCTTACTAAAATATAATTTGTAATTTATCCACACTGCAGAATGTTTTTTTTTAAGAAATAGTTTTAATAATTACAATTATCTTTTCAAAACGATAAGCATTAACATTTATTATAATTATTGATAGTTTATTAATTATTCTAATTCTATACAGAATAAATTATTCAGGAATGAAAAAAGAATTGTAAAGAATATAGTAAATACGTTCAATACATAAAGAGTGGGGGTGCCTTTAGCAGAGCTTACCATTATGAATAATTGACTGTTATTCCTTAATAACTATGGCAAACAACCACAGCATTTTAAATTTTCATTTACATACGTGTGCGACAATGAAAATATTAAAAATGGATTATTTCACTGTATAAAGTAACGCATTACATTTTTAATCCAAATTGCTTCAAAAAATTTCAGTGTAGGCTTTGTAAGAACCTTAAAATAAAAATTAAAATAAACTTTTAATAAAAATAAATTGTTTATTACTTTAAATATATGTACATGGTAAAACTTAACTTAAGTATATCGGATCTATAAACCAAGGAATATTCAGAAAACTATACAACACAAAATTTAATAAAATCAAACTTACTTTTTATTGAAAACTTATATAAAATAAAAAGAATGTAATATATACATATCAGTAGCATTTCAACACGAGAAAAGAATAGAAAAATAACAACTTTGAAGAAACTAATAAATCTTGATTTTATTGAAATTACATTTAAAGATATTGTTGCATCCTACAAGTCATAATTCATGGACGAATGTAATTTGGTACAGAAATTGCTTCTGATTGAAAAAACTCTCTCACTGTCTTTTAAAATTATTTAAAATGCTATTGTTTTTATCTGTATTTTCAAATTTATTGAATATTCAAATTCAGTTTACTTCATTATAATATATTTTATCAATTATTTAAACATTCGTCGTTCTTTTACAGAATCTATACTTTTTATTTGAACATAAATAAATTGCAAATAAATACTTCATGACAAAATTACGATATAAATATTTCATGACACAAATAGTAAAAAAGATAAAATTATTAATCGGTTAACCATATGTAGTTGACTTCCGGTTTTTCAGAAAAACACGATGCTTGTAGTTTGGTGTAAACTTTGACAAAACATCTGTTAAAAGGTTTTAATTTTATATAATTTTAAAACCATAGTAGAGAAAAATTTTCGTGAAAACTAAATGTCATGTTTCAAACAATACATATTTTCTCTATGTGCCTTATAAAACTTAAAAAAAGATGTGCATATTTTTTAAGTTTTTAATTTTTATGAAGTACTGTGCACCATGTCCTCAATTTACCATGAACGTCTTAAAATAACATAAAGTCCTCAAATATACAATTTATTCACACGTCTTTTATTCTGCAGACAGTATTTTTTTTATTGAGAATGTTTATAAACCCCGTGCACACACCACAAAGTAGCACACGAGGGCTTACTGAAGAATAAGGGCAAAATACACATCACAAAAGAAAAAAGGAATTTTAAACAACACAAACATCCATGCCTCTTATCCGTGACTTGAACTCAGGCCCTACGGCACCACAGTCAGCGTCACTAACCACCATACCGGATGGGTGGCTTACAGAGAATAATGTATTAAGAAGTAAATCATACATACTTAACAACGTGTTCTATAAAATAATTTACACTACAGAGTTTTTCCTCAAATTCTAAGTTTAGTCAGTTTTAGAAACGATCCAACTAAAAAGTTTGATATTATAATTGCGTAATAACACAGCAACAAATGCAAAAAAAATTATTAGAGACATAAATCTCTCGCAAAACATACTTTAATGCACCAATAAGTGCATAACTTAATAATTGAGTATAATTAAAATTTGAATTAAATAAATCTGAACATGGCAGTATCAATGTTTCATTTGCCGTTATTTTATTTATCGAATTCCTATACCTCAGATTGTTTCTGAAGTTCCTAAAACCTTGCTTCCTATATTTCTAGTGGGGAAAAAAATCTTTTTTTCGATACAAGATTTAGAAAACAGTTCCGTAATAAGCCACATAGATGGGTATAGAATTGTTGTGCAGGGATATTCGAGTTTACCTCCCGAAGTTTCCGGACTACAAGGAAAACTTTTTATAAAGTATAAAACTTCGTCAAAGTCTTATCTTATTCCGCTTTTCAACCAGAACACCGACATCTTCTCTCGCGTATTGATTTGCTTTGATAGCAGAGAGAGAGAGCAGCGTCAACATACATATCTGACAGAGACGGAGAAACAGGAAAAATATTTCTTTCTTTGAAAATTTTCATTCTCTCCTCTGTAAAGAAACATCGTTGTGATACTGATGTTTTTAACTAACTTATTTTTATTGTGTTGCTCTTTTGTTGTTGATACGGCATCCGAATGAATTTGTTTTTCATTTGGTATCATTAAATTAATGACGGAAATATTTTTCAATTCTTACTATTAGCTCACTCTCCATTCCTATATATATATATATATAAGCTACATCACATAGCAAGATCTATTAAAGACCAGAATACCATTTATCAAAATTCAAACATATATAGGCGCTATACAATTACATAATATGTGAGAATGCATAATCAAAATTTCTCTACAAGAGACAGATGAATAAACACGATTAAAACTGAAAAGTCAGCAATGTTGATATCCAATTTTTTTTCATATTTTCTTTTAAATTCTGTTGTCCGGTTTCTTGCAATTTCAATTCTTTTCAGTTCTAATCATGTTTATTCATCCTCTCTTGTAGATAAATTTTGGTTATATATATATATCATATATATCATTTTGAAATTTTCAATCATTAACAAAATATTTTCTATTCATCCATTCAAGTTCAAATACATTTTTTTAAACTTGTAGTGGATGACACTTGATGTTCATACAGTTTTTGCAAATATTAATTAATTAATTAAATTAAAAAAGGAATAAATAGTAACAAACAAAATGATTGTCCAACAGCATATATAGAAAGGAAAGGTTCGTTGTGTCCATGTAGCGCAACGGATAGCGCTTTGGACTTCTAATCTAAAGGTCGTGGCTTCGAATTCCGCCTGGAATGGTTTAATTTCTGAGAATATGATTTCCTGTTTCCTATACTAATTTAATGGAATAATTAATTTTAACAAATGAATATATAGTAACAAAAACAAAAAAAAAGTCTAACACCATTTATAGAAGTAAAAATCGCTTTCTATTTTGTAACTTAATATTGTGATTCTGTCATACGAAAATACATATTTATATTAATTGTAACTTTTTAATAAAAAGTAACTAAAATAAAAATTTTCTTTGTTAACCTAAATAAGAATTGACTAAAAAAGAAAAAAATTTTATTACTTGTTCTATACATTACTAAAATTTGGGACAAATATAGAAAGTCTGAAAGAATTAGATTAGAGATATGAATTATAATGAAATGAATCTGCGATCATTTAGGCAGTGAGACTCAAGAACCATTAATCAAAGTCTGAAAAACTTTAAACATGTAACTTATTATCACAAAGATAAGTAGTTAAATTCCTGAACCTAAACATATTAATTCAACATTCTTTCGTGCAAATCTGTTAAAAAAACAGTCAGAATAATGATCTTTCAAATTCTTGAAAAAGCAGATCATGTGCAATTATATAATAAGGGAAGAACTGTGCATAGGATAAAAAACATATATATATATATATATACAAAGCTTCATATAAATTAAATGCTGCACGCTCGGTAGTGGTAAGAATAAATAGCATCACGATCTGCTTATACTTCGCTTAGCGGAAATTTTAGGTGGGATAGAAAATGAGGTAAAGCAGCTTGAAAGTTTATTTCCAACATTTACTTACTTGTTGATTTTTATTCCTATAGTATTTGAAGAGAGGTTGTGATAAAATATTTTTCTTTTAGTTTTAGAAAAGGTAAAAAAATTTTTATTACTAGTATTTTTGGTACTTACATTTATTTTCAAAAACTCTAATTTTAACTGAACAAAATTTAGAGATTTTAGAAAATCTAATCTGTTGACTTTTATTATGATATTTTATTCCTGATTTTTGTCTCAAACAAATACATGTGTTAAGTTTGTAATTTTTTCAAATGTGTTTAAAAAATTATTTTTCTAAAAAACTAAGATTTTACCTGAATGGTTCGAGCCATATCCCTATCATATGCACAGAAATATACAATTTCTTCATAGAATATATTCTTGCTAAGTAATTAATGGATAATAAATTAACTATAGGAAGAATGTTTTGAAAAAAATTAAATTTTCAATACTTTTTTTAATTTAAACCAGAATATGATGAAAAAAAAGTTATAAATAAGTTGGCTTTCAACAGAGTAGTATTGTTTTTAAATACGCCGAAACAGAATAAAGCAATCGTTCTCCTGGGAGCCCTGGAGAGAAATTTTAAAACAAGAAAGAAAATATTCACAGGTATACTTTTTATTGTAATAAAATTGAATGTAGTAGTGCAAATACCACACTGGCGACGGACCTCATAATTTTGAGCCACTGCCGAATGATGAAACATGACCTTGCATCCAAGTCTCCAAACTTGTATACAACGCCCACCTGGGGCTTTCAGCTTCAAACGGTTCAGTATGCATCCGTCCTTTAACGTATCGGCTTTTAATGGCTACAGAATTCAAACCCACGATTTGACGGACAAGTCGGGAATTCTCGAGCATGACCTCTCCTCTATAGCGGCCATAAAGATGGTAAAGTAATAAATGTATTTGATGGTTTGTTCATGTAAATTCTCTTTACAATCAAAACGAGCAAGACAGAAATTGTTTTTTTTTCTAATGGAACTTCAAATGAGCTCACTGAAACCTTACAAAACTATAAGGAGAGAAAAAAAAGTATATATTCCAGTGACAAAGGGGAAAAAATGTTTTTTCACCAGGAGAATGTTCCATAAGACATCAGAGCATCTAAGTGTAAGAATAGATCGAAGAAAGATAGAAAAACGCAAATGACGTCGTGTTTGCAAATATCATTTGTCATAAGAAAATGCATTGCTAAGAATACTAGAAACAATGAGAAAATAACGAATCAGATGACGAGGTCAACATTTGAGCTGGCATCTCACTTAACGACTTTAATTCATAACATATTTCATTATCTATGTCAGGGGGTGTCAAACTTGTATGATATTACGGGCCACATGGTCTATTTTTTTTTATAAGTTGGGGGGCCGTATGTTTAAAATCTTCAAAAAATCAATTAAAATATAATTTTTATAATGTATATGCCTTATTAATGTAAAGTTCAATGTATTGTACAATATACACATATATTTATTTTAATTTCGTGTTATTTTTTAAACTTTATACCTATACATATTTTCTATTTTTAATAAAAAAAAAGAACAACCATTTTTTTTTTAAAGAATTTTAAATTAACATTTATTTTGACACCATCTTTTTCACAAAACAAGTCATCAAGATTTGATTAAAATACTGGACCGATGTAATTTTAAAATTGCTGATGAATGTTGATTGAGGTTAAATTTATCTTTCTGAATTCTAGCTATTTTTCATTAAAGAAAATAATTACCCGCATAAATAAGTGCTTCTGAACATAGCCATTATTGCATAACAACGATAAATTTTAGGAAAAGATCTACTGATAAATACGTGTTGATGTATAAATTCTAGAATTCCAACTTCCGTAGATTTTTGCTTCTACAAAGAATCACATTGGATTTCAATTATTTATTTGTAAGTTTTCATCAACAATTTCAAAATTTATGGATAGAGATAAAGTAAAAGTGCGAAATTATAACTCACAGAGCTCTTAGAAATTAATAATTCCGTTTCAAAGAATTTAATTTTGTGAGCGTATTCAGTAAGTTTTAATTTATGGGATTTAATCAACCAATGTTGACAGCTTCAAAGAGAGACAATTTTTCTTTTTCTCTTATTTTTGCCAAATAAAATTATTTAATACTATCAAATAAAGTTGTAACAACAGGGTTTTTCCCTTAAAGCTTAAAAATTAAGTTGATTCAGATGGCTTGTTATCAATTGATAAAGCCAAGTCCTTTATCCATTGTCCATCTTTTAATTCATACACACATATTCATACTATTTTTATTTCCAAGAAAATTATAATTTCATTCAGCAATTTAAAGAATCATTTTAATACTTATGATTTGAAAGCCAATGAATTTCCCTACAATGTGTTAGATCGATGAATTCATTCTCAATATCTTCGAGAAATTAAGTTAATTTACGATGATTAAGTCTATGTTCTCGAATATAATTTACAATTTTGGTGACTATTTCCAAAACATGCCATATGTTTAAAACTTAGGAGCACAGTAACCTGCTGGTGTATAATACAACAAAAATGCTCAAAATTTTTACCGCCATATTGTTTATATATTTCTTTGTCGCCCATCCGGTATAGTGGTTAGCGACGCTGGCTGCTGTGCCGTAGGGCCTGGTTTTGAATCCCGGTGAAGACATGGATGTTTGTAAATGTATAGTGCCTTCGCGGCATGGGGGTATCTAAATAGCCTCGAGCCGCAAGTCCTCTCGTGTGGTTGGTGGAAGGGAAGAGAGGTGGAAACCCCTGACCACTCCAGGGTGTTCTTCCTCAAAATTGGGGTGGAACCGAGCCAAAACGTACTGTCACCTGCATGGTGCTCAAAGCTACGAACGACCAGCGTACAATATAACCCGATGTCATGATGAATATCGTGGGCCTCGATCTGACTACGTCAGACAGGTGGCATTAGCAAAACAACATATTTCTTTTAGTCTTGCAACAAGTCCTTTAGTAATATCGATCATGGTTAAGCGCACTATCATGCAAGGCAAACCACCTTATCAATGGTAACTTATATTTCTTCAAAATATCTATAAGTACGTTACAAATATCAGCTCCAGATGTTGTATTTCGAATATAAATGATTTCCTAAGTTTTTCACTTATTTTTAAATCAGGTAGTTACTTTTTTTCATTGCATCCGAAGTTTCGGATGCAATGAAAAAAGAATGACTACCTAAATGAAATTTCGAATGTCTCTACTTTCATCAATATTGCAATGAAGTAGGCTTGAAACGTTGATATTCTTGAATTATGCTGATTTCTCAGCTATTTCATCAATTCTAATACTAACAATATTTAAGGTTAAACGTACATTTTTAATTAGCTTTGTTTGAGATGGACATAATACTTCAACTGTTTTAAATAAACATTAAATAATAAATTCCCTTTCAGTAAATGATTTAGATCTGCTTGCGATATTAAGTGTAATAAAACATAGCTTTTACACAACAGCTGTATAGTCTTCAATAAATTTGATGAATGTGCTTTATTGTTTTTGAAGAATTGATCTGAAATCGGACCATTTGTCTTCACAAATTTTGCTAAGTGTTGGTCATAGTTTGCTTCATGATTTGTGTCATAGGCATTTTAAGATATATATTTTAGTAACTAAGCAGTTTTTAGGTATCTGGAATATTTGAATCTTATTCTGAACACAAAAAGTATTACAGATGCCATTTTCTTGAAAGTTACGGCGTTCCTTTTGAATTGATCTTTTTTTACGCATTGTTGAAATTTGATTGCTCTTTCATTCGCAAACGATTAAGTATACATTGCACATTGCCTTTATCTTAACCCCCCCCCCAACCTGATTTTTTTTAACTTTAAAAAATATCCCTTTTTTTTCTTGCTGATTATACACTCCAAACAGAAATGCGGTGGAAGAGAAATTAAAACCGCACACACCAAGAAACGCGTACCATCCACATAGTAAAAGAATATGCATAGTGCATTTCAGAATTTATAAAAAACATAATT